GTGTGACGGCAGGAAGTTCAGAGCGCGCCACTCTGCACGTGACTTATCCTACTGTTGAGAACTGTTGCCTCTGTCCAGTGAGTGGCAGGTACAGTCTCATAAACAGTGCTATTTCCGAAGAGCAGAGATGTCACTCTGGATCTGAGTCATTACCTAGAAATCATAACAAGTCAGCTCCATAGAAGGTGGGGATTGGCTTTGGGGGGTCAAGTGTAACAGTGCCTCTCAGACACTTGCACACCCACACCCTTGTGCCCAGGGAAAGTGCACTTCCGAAGGCAGATATAAAAATAGATTGGCACGCTCTTGACACAGGGAGAGGGGACTTTGAGCAGCTCCCCCAAATCCTGCACATCTCGTTCCCCCTGTTCCAGTGCAGCACGCTCCCAGTCAGACCCAGTCTGCAGTAAAGGCCCTGAGAAGCTTCAGGGAGGGAGAGCGGGCCTCCGTCACCCCCAGCACACACCTCCTTTTGTCAAGCCTGAGCAATGTCTCCTAGCAAGTTCCAGGCTTCTCCATGAAAATGAAGCAACAAGGAGACTCGGCTTGGCGGGCCCAGCTCCGCTCTCCGGTAGTAAGCGAGGCTCCGCCGTGCACTGGGAGGAAGCAGTCCCTGGCCCTCCTGGGGCCTGTGCTAGGAACTCTGGATCAGGCGTCTGTAGTGGGGCATGACTTCATGCTCTGGCAGATGAAGTGCAAATTCCAAGGCCACCAACACTGGAAATTCAAAGGCAATCAGTTCTCTCCTGTTCAGTCTGAACTTCTCTTCCAGTTTCTGCAAAGACAACAGATCCATTTTAGTTTCACATTTAACAACTTAGGCATTTTTGTTTGTTTGTTTTTGTTTTTTCCAAGTGCTACTTTTCTACCATCAAGTGAGTGACCGTTTATCGTGGATGCGTCTGCTCTCCCTGGGTGACTCTAAAAGAAGAGAGGTTCTGGAGGTCTGGAAGCTGCATCCGGTAAAGGTGTCGTTCTCTTCATCTCAGGAAGAAAAGCAAAGGGGCAGTCTGGGTCCATGGCATGCAGAGATCAGGATGGACAGCCACAAGCTGCCCTCCTCATACACTGTTCTTGTAGCTACTCTAGTTTCAGGACACATCAACTGCCAAAAGAAGGCACAAGTCCTCCTTAGTGTCCCCTCCTGACACCACTGCAATGGAAATCAAATTTCAGTGTGAGTTTTAGGGGTGAGAAAAATATGCCTAAATCATCTATCTGTCCCTTACAGGGTGGACCGCTTCCTGCCTTAGTCCTAGTGTGCAGACAGTGAGCCTTCCCCGGCGGCCAGCGGTCTGTCTGGAGATGCCTGACAATTCCATTTAATACTGCGAAGACTCTTAAAGTTCATATTGCATTTATGCCCATTTACAGATAATCACAACTCAACAGGTCAAGAATGGCCATCTACAGTCACCTGGATAGGGAACTGCTGTCCTGAGTGCAACCTCGCTCTCTCTCTCTCTTCTCTCTCTCTCTCTCTCTCTCTCTCTGCCTCCCTCCCTCCCTCCCTCCTCCTCTCTATCTCTCTCTTTCTTCCTTTGTTTTTCGAGACAGGGTTTCTCTGTGTAGCCCTGGCTGTCTTTGAACTCACTCTGTAGACCAGGCTGGCCTCGAACTCATAGAGATCTCCTGCTTCTGCCTCCTGAGTGCTGGGATTAAAGGTGTGTGCCAACCCCACAGGGCTCTAACTAGGATTCTTTGCACCTATTATAACCGAGTCAGGCTCAGAGCACGCTGGCCAGCAAGCCTCACAGGCCATCTTTGCATGGCACAAGAGGAGGACTTGTGACTCAGCCTTTTCCTTTCACTTGTGGGGACCTGAGTCCCTGGGAGGTTGTCCCACATCTGAGCAGCTGAGTGGCCAATGGCTCCTCACCTGTCCACTCAACAACGCAGGCTTCCAGGATTAGAAACAGAAGAGAAACAGTGGGGGACAGGAAGTCCCCCTTTTTGCTAGATCACTCAGTCTCACCTTAAGCTTAGCTTTTGGCTAATGAACTCTCACTAACGCAGTGATGACTGTCCCGAGGTAAAACTGGGATGGGATCTCATGTTAGGGTGTGACTTTCAGATCATAACTGTTTGTCTGTGTTGACACCATCAGCTTCAACTGTGTGGCACAGTACTAAACTCTGATTAAATGTGTATGGTATAAACTGCTTAGAACTGTATTAGTCTTACTTCTGAGGATGCATTAGTTATGTGCATATATGTATGTTTCCGAGGACCCCCAAGTAGATCCTGAAACCACAGTATCATATCCTATAGATTTGTAATACTTATGGTACCCAATTTACAGGATCAACAACAACTAAAACAGAGTAACTATAGTGTATCAAAAGTTACACAAACGTGTTTTCTCTGTTGCTTATTCTGGGCTTAGCCATGCAATGCTTGCATGATGAGATGAAGGAATTGTGATGTAGGCTGTTATAGTGTATTAATCAGACATACGCACTATGATGCTTGGGCAGTCAGTCTAACAAACAAGGTGACTAGGTGCTCGTGTACACAGGTGGCTACATAGGACACAGGGATAGTTCACACCTGATGCGTGACAGGGAGAGCTTTCATCACACTACTTAGACTGGGGCATAACCTAAAACTTACAAATGGCTTATTTCAGGACTTTTCTATGCAGTATTTGGGGCTGTGGTTGACTTGGGTTACTGAAACCAGGAAGGGCCCATTCATTGATAAGGGGACAACTGTATAAGCCCATTGATGCTTGGCTTAGATTTGGCACCCAATAATCACTTCCATGTTCATGTATCTGCTGCACACAGGACCTTGTACCATTTCTGAAAATTAGTAAACTATGACCTAAATAATACTCTTTCTTAAAAACATATACCAAATACCTTCCTTATTGTCTTCATCACTAGAGACAGTGCTGCATACAGCATGATACCAATTGTCTGTTCTGTGCCTTGCCTTTTCCGGGCAAACTTCTCCTACTGCCCCCAACAGTTTAGTCACTGCCCTATGAACCTGATATGACATTCTGGCAGATCTGCCCTGAGCTCAGGATTGCTTATCAGGGAGTGTGACTTCTGCCCATAAACCTGGTGATTCCAGCTCTTCTGAGGTCTCAGCCTTGAAGCCCTTTCTTTGGGACCATCTTGGAACCAGGTCTGCAAGATCTCCAGAGTGAACTGCAGAGGCTCAGGACTTTAGCAGTAAGCTAGACAATCACTTAGGTTAGAAAAAAGCTTGCTAACTTAATTGTCTGTGCCAGGTTTTGAAAATTTATAAACACTGATTCCTTCAATGCTCCAATAGGCACCAGTGGATGACAACTGAGGATGCTTTCAAAAAGCAAGCCAATCCATCAAGAATTCTCCTCTCACACCAGCTCCTTCCATCACGCCAATGAGGACATTGTCCACCTGCAGGCAGCCCAACACTGACAGGCATTCTTCAAACTGGCCATTCCTAAGCCTTCACATGTGCATGGGGAGCACCCCTTTCTGGAAACAATAATGAAGGCTTTTGCTCACAAGTCCTTCCCTTTCCTTCTCCCCCATGGGATTCTGATTATATGTACCAAACATGTGTCCCTCAGAAATTAAGGTTACTGGCTTTGGTCCCAGTGAAGTGCAGTAGGGAGGTAAGGCCTCTGAGAATAATTAGGCTGAGAGGAGTTGGGGGATTTTGATGACCTTGGTGACCTTGAAGGAGACCAGATTCAGAACAAAAGGCACAGGAGACCAGATTCAGAACAAAAAGCCAGAAGGGACCTTGAACTTGCCAGCTTTTACAACGATGTGAAGTCAGTTTCTGTTGTCTAAGCAACCCAGTCCATATAGTACAGCAGCCCAAACAAAAGTCCTTCCTCTTGGCAACTTCGAGTAATAAGAGTTGGTTCTTTATCTGTTTTGTTTTTTTTTTATTTATATACTATAGCACACACACACAACATATAATACACATTTGTGTACTGAGAATTGGAACCTAGGACCTCACATGTGCTAGGCAAGCAATCTACCACTGTCCACACTCTTCCCCATTCCTTTTTTGTTGTTATTGTTTTGAGCCAGGGTCTTACTAGGTTGCCTTTGGACTTTAGTCCTTCTGCCTTAGCCTCCCAAGTAGCTGGGTTTATGGGCCCATACCACAAAGCCTGCCTACACTCTTATGTTAAAACAGGTGTTCATAAATCCAACCTAGGCAGTCAGGTATCCTTCGGAAGTAAGGCCACACCATCCCATTGAACCCAGCATTGCTGTTGGGTGTGTGCGGCAACCACAATGCTCTAAAGACTCTTGTGGTTACCACGTGTGGTGGTTTGAAAGAAAATGGCCCCTAAAGGGAGTGGCACTATTAGGAGGCGTGGCTTTACTGGAGTAGGTGTGGCCTTGTTGGAGGGAGTGTGGGGGTGGGCTTTGAGGTCTTCTATGCTCAAGCTACACCCATGTCACAGTTTACTTCTTGTTGCCTGCAGATCAAGATGTAAGACTTGCAGCTACTTCTCCAGCACCCTGACTACTCTCACACCACCATGTCCCACTATGATGAAAATGGACTAAACATCTGAAACCGTAAGCACCCTATTAAATGTTTTCCTTTATAAGCCTTGCCATGGTCATGGTGTCTCTTCACAGATATAGAAACCCTAAGACACATGGCTTCTCTATGTGTGAGAATAACTTCATCGTCCTTTCTATCTAAGAGGGGTTTTAGGTCATGACCCTAATGATGGCTTTTTAATCTCAGCCATTAAGGTCCATTTGCCCGCCAGGGGACACTGGACTGGGCGCACACTCCCACCTCACTTACATCAATCAGAAGCTTGACGTCGTGCTTTTTGAGGTCACTTCCGACCTTGGCTGCCAACAGCACGCATGCTCCGGCACAGAGCTTCCGGTTCTGCTTATTCAGTTTCCCCTTGAGGGCGAGCTTCTCAAAGTAGACAAAGGCCATGGCCACGGTGGGCTCCTCAAAGCCGCAGTCCTCCTGGGCAAGCTTCCGCATCTCTCTCTTCAGACTAGAGGAAGACAGGAAGCAGAGCGTCCCGAGAGAGCTCGGGGGACCCACAAGAAGACTATGACACCATCTGGAAAGCATTTTCTCTATTCCCTCCCACGGGGGGATGCAGGCTGAGATCAGTCCACATTAGATGTGGGAGCAGACCATGTAACTGGGAATCTGGCCCCTCTGTGGGTCTAGTGACACAGACACAGCACAGCCCAAATCACAACTTCCAAGGATTATGGCAACCACGGCTCCATTGGTTGCCTATCTGAGTCCCCAGGAAAATAGGGGTGGGACACCTCAACATGAAGAAAGGGACCCACGCTTATTTTAGAGCTATTTCAGGTGTCTAAGTTCTGCCGATTACTGGTTAGACTCTATGTCACGTAGACATGTTTGGTTAAAGGCAAATACTTGGGAAAGCTGCCTAGCAAACGGACAAAGCATGGATGCTTAATTTTTCTTTATTCTTTGGTTTTTGGAGCATGCCAGAATCAAGTCTGCATTAGGATACACTCTAGGGTAAACCTGCTCACACTCCAGCATCTCAGAGGTGGTGAGCACACTTGGAGTCATGGTGTGGATGCCACAATCTGAGTCAGCACCTCTAGCTTGGCAGGATGAGTGGCTGGCATATATGGGGTCACCACAAACCCATCCAATCATCTGTATGGGAAATCTGGGCCTCTCTCTCTGTTTTGGCTATTTTGGTGGGTGTGGTTGTTCTAAGATAGGACCTTGAAGTCATGTTTAGGTGAGAGGAGTTATCTCATGCCCCAAGGTGCCAATTCTACACACTTCTGTTTAGCTTGTATCCCAGAAAGCCGAGACCTGCATGCTGCCCATTAGGGTTTGATTGTGTTTTTAGACATGACGGTATCCTAGGCTAGTTTCACATTTCTGTCTCCCAAGTGCTGGAATCACAGGACAGCATGATCACTCCTGGGCTGTGAAGTAAGGGAGGGAGCTTGATCCCAGGGCTCTGTTGTGTGAAAGCCCAGCACTCTACTGACTGAGCCCCACCCCAGCTCCATCCTTTCTGCCTTCTATAACCTGTTTTACTGAGCTGGCAAGCTGCAAGCAGACAACATGAAACAATTGTTCTCAGTAAATGAATGTCTCCAAGAGCTGTGTCAACTAGTGGGTCAGGAGCTTTGCCTGATGCCTGATGCCTTGGGCTCTCCCACGACATCCAGGCAGGAGTCAGGCAGCAGCAGAAGTGTCTAGTGAACATGCCTGTGTTTCTTTTCCTGAGGAACAAGAAGAGTGTACTGGAGGGGCCTGGCAGAAGAGTTCAGAGTGATACGTGGCTCTCCTACCTCCTGATTTTGCTGAGTGTTAACTTGATGTGAGGAAACTTTTCCTTGAAGGTTTCGTTCATGTCCTTCTTGAGATCTGAGGGCTTCACGTAGTCAATCACCGTGGTCTGTAGTAGAAGAGGCAAGAAATGTCACTGCAACCATGGGTCAGATGTACTAACAAAGCACAAGTTAACCCTGAAGCAGCCAGTAGACCACCAGGGGAGGCCTGTGTGTCAGCTTGCTGTCCACACAGGGCAGAATTCAAAGGCTCCACCCTCTGCCCCTCACTGGCTTGGTTTTGGGAGACTCAGTCACCCAACATCTCACGTCCTACCTCCCATGGTTATTCTGGGAACCATGAAAGGTGGTCTGTACAATTCCTTACACATCATAGATTCTCAACAATTCTATGTTTAAATATTTTTTAAAACATGACAAAATATGCATAAAATTCACCATTTTAAGGCACCATTTAGTGGCATTAAGGACATACACATTATTATGCAACCATTACCAGTACTCTGTAGGACATCCCCCTGTTTACTTTCTTGAGCCCCTGAAAGCACCATTTTTTTTTTGTTTTGTTTTGTTTTTGAGACAGGGCTCTAAGTAGTCAAGACTGGCCTTGAACTCTGCATTCTTCCTGCTGAAGTTACAGACATGAGTACCATGTCCAGATGCCTTTTAAAACATTAATTTTTGTGTGTACACACATGTACATGATTGTGCTTGCCGTGTTTTGTGGGGGTATGGGTGGTGGTGGTCAGAAAATTACTAGTGGGAATTGGTTCTCTCCTCCTAACATGAGAGTTCAGGAAATCAAACCCTGGTTGCCAGGTTTGGTGGCAAGCACCCTTACCTACTTAACCATATCACCAGCCCCAGCTAACTTTTGTTTCATGTAAGTAGAATAATGCATTTGCTTTTCCATCACAGGTTTCTTTCAGTGTTAATGCTTCAAGGTTCAGGGGGCATTGTACCTGGCATATGAATTTCCCTTCAGAAGCAGAGTGACATTCCATTATGTGTGTGGAATGGTAACGTTATTAACAGTCCCTTGCTTAAATTCTGCCTATCCTCAAGACAGGTTCCTTTGAACCCCTGGGAATGTTCTGGGTTCCCTTGCTCAGTGCTCTGCATATACCCCTGAATTTGTATTTTGCTGGGTCACACCAGTTAGTCTCATCTCATCTCAAAAGTGTACCTGCCAAGGCCAGCACTCTTTAGGCTGACAACAGAAGTCACTTCAGCAGGTCACTGTCTTCCACAGAAGTGATGTGGAGGCCACCCAGCCCCATGGATGACACACTACCAGCAAAATCCACCCAACAGTTCTTAGTGACCCTGGCTAATGTCGGTAGGCTTCTCTGAACATGTGGTTTGATGTGACACCTAATGAATTTTTAGATTTTGGTGGTGCTGAGAATTGAACCCAGGGCTTTGGATATGCCGTGACAAGTGCTATACCACTGAGCTACACCCCAGCTTGACAAGACTTGGAATAGGCACATGAACTGCATTTGGTGGCAGCTAAAAGCCCAGTGAAAAGTGATCTCGATGGATTTCTCTGGAGCATAAATACTGACTGTAGCAATATTAACTCAATTCTGCTAATCCAGCCGTGACATTTGGGGAGATGAGGATCCAGGGCATCCCATTCAAATGGGCCTCTGAATTTTCCAACAGGTCTGTCCAAACATCTGAGGCAATGAGAGGCCCCGATCCTTTCTTGCGGTAACCACCACAGCTGACTAGATGCAGTATATATGAAAGGACACCTGACCCTTCTCTTGAGCATTCTGAATGCACCCCATTTCAACTTACAGGTGAGGAAACCAAGGCCCAGTGTGGTGGAGAAGCTTGTCCCAACCTTGATAAGCTGCAGGCTCCCCATACACTAGGCTCTTCTTCTCTAATCAGATAATGAGCAGCTGACAGTAGCCATGAGGTTGTCACAAAGGGGTGGGGATATAGACAGGGCCAAAGAAGTGGTCGCCTTAGCAAGTCAAAGTCACTCAACCTCTGGTCTAGGAGTCCAGGTATCTCTACCATGACTTATATCTTAGTTGACTTATATGTCTGAAGTCCAGGGACTTGCATATCAGGTTATCCTTGCCAACTAACATTCCTTTTCAATTTACTCTGTGATGCTGCATCTTGGGACTCATCCAACTAAGTTCCCTAGAGCACAGGTTGCTTTCCCTATGACTATCCTTCCCTAAACATTCTGTTTCATTCTGGGAAGTTTTACTCCATTATAAAGGCCAGGAAACTAGCAGTTATGCTTCCCGACTCCCTTGCAGCTAGGATAACAAATACATTTCTGACTGGAAAAGAGGCAGCACTTCCATTATTTCTGCTATCAAGATTGATTGAGAAGTTCTGGTTCACTGGCTTTAGATGTCTATTTTGTAGACTACAGCAAAGGCAGCATGGTCTGCAGCCAACAGTAGTTGGTAGTGGGTTCCCAACTGTGGTAGTTACCTTTTAGTAGTGGTAGCTAGCCCTGGTTTCTGGTCAGAAACTAGAGTCCTGATCCCACAGGTTAAAGCTCCCTAGGTGGCTTGGGGATCATTCTTATTCTGTTAGTATTCCTAAATATTATTTGGTTAGAACCTACCATGTAATAACCCCCCCCCTTTGAAAGTGTGTGTGTGTGTGTGTGTGTGTGTTTGTGTGTGTTTGTGTGTGTATGTATGTTTACAAGCACATGTGGAGAGGACAACCTCAAGTGTCATCCTTAGGAACACTGTCCATCTCTTTGAGACAGGGTCCTTCACTGACCTGGAGGTCACTAATTTGGCTAGGCTAACCAGCCAGGGAGGTTTGGGGAATCCTTCCTGTCTTGTTACCTCCCCAGAGCTGGTCTTACAAGTGTGGTGTCATGCCCAAGCCTTTTTCACATGAGTCTTGAGGAATGAACTCAGATCTTCAGGCTTGCAAGGCAAGCACTTTCCCAACAGAACCATAGCCCCACCTGGTGTGGATACTGAGCTTTGCTGTGAATTGTAACAGTTTATGTGTGGTTCCATCCTTGCTCTTGGGGTAAGGAGCTTGGCTGTCCTTTCCAGGCAGTGGGATGAGCACAGGCTGGGCAACTGAGTGTTGATGTGAGACCCCCCAGCTCAGTCCTTAGTAGATTTTCCAAATACCTGGCTGACATAGCTCTTGAATTCATCGGATGCCACCTGCAGGCACAAGTGACCTCTGCACCACCTCCAACTTACTGTGTGCTTGTTTCCAGTCCCATGTCCTCATGGCCGTTCCCCAATCTGGCATTTGACTTGCTCATCTATTTGGGCTTTACCTATCTCCCGAGTCTCACTGTGTAGCCCAGGATGGCCTGAAGCTCACAGTTGTCTTGATTTAGTCTGGAGTGCTGAGATTATAGGCATGTACTACATGCTGCCCACTTTGCATCTTTCCTAAGTTAGATAATACATTTTGAGGTTTGTGTAGGGTACTCTGCAAACATTACCTTTCTGTCAAAGCCCAGTAATAACCTGGGGTGGGGTGCTCTGCTCCATTTTCACAGCCTCAGCATCTGACTGCCAAGTGGTTGGTAGCCTTCCAGGACAAGTGACGGAGGAGCCCAAATATAGATGCTCCTTACATGAAGTATGAGATGGGTACACAGCCAGGCGGGACCAGTGGACCATGATCCTAGAGGGAGGCTGCTTTCCTCTAAACGCATCAGAGTACTTGAGACAACTGTAGGCTTGTGACAGCCTTGTCACTGAGGCAAATGCCCAGTAACAGGTACTCTAGTCTGTCTGCCTCAATCAATTTAAGGTGAGGGGGCAGTAAAATGCCTCTGTGACACAATGGGAAAAAGATGGTGGTAAGCTGTGCTCTGCAAGTCTGGCTGAGAACAGGAAGTGGCCACTTTGGTTTCCTGGCCTGCTGTAACAAGCTCCCACCATCTGGGTAGCTTTGACAACTGCAGGCTGCCCTAGAGACCTAGCTGGAAGCCTACAATCGGCGCAGGTTGATAGGATGTGTTCATGGAACATAACTCCTTGTTACTCTGTCCCCAGAACCTGCCTTGCCCCCCCCCCACTGCTTCTGACACCCAGGACTGATGGATGTGCCTCCACTGTATTTTCTGTCCCTTTCTGTGGACACAGTCATGTTACTCTCCACTCATTTCACCCCATTTACATCCGCAGAGAGCCTGTTGCAGATCAAACACTATCCTAAGGTCATAGGAGGTCACTGCATCTCTTAGGGGGATATAGTTATGGTCACAGTTGTGGCTTTTACCTAAACGGGCTGCTGTGGAGGCTTCACAGACTCTGGCCCTGCCTGTTCCCCAGGCTGAGTGTCTGGCTCCCCTGCCCCAGTGCCAACTCAACCTCCCAAGAGTCAGCCTTAACATCACAGGCATTCAGCCAGAGCTCTGCTTTTATTCCCAGCTCTGCCACATGCCATCCAGGTAGCCTGAGCACACTGCTGAAGTACTTAGGCCTCAGATCCCTCCTCTGAGGATCTCTACCAGATACCTGCTTTGTGCTAATGGCCACAGGACCCCTGATCTGGAGGGCTGCCCCTCACCTGCCTGGGGTTCAGCAGCCTGAGTGGGCAGCCCCCAGTATGGCAGTCTGATTCCAAACCGTGTAGGATGCAGAAGGGCCACCCTCTACCCTAGCAGGTGTCAGAGGGATGAAGTTGGCACCGTCTTCTGAGCTATAGGTCCCTGTGGAGAATAAAGTATGGCGAGCTCTGACAACTTGGCATCCTCTCTTGGGGGAGCTGTACGATGACCCCTAGGGGCTGGCCCTCCTAGGCACCCTAGAGACCACTGTTCTTGCAGTGATGACAGTGAGCCAAAGAGGCAATACTGGGGACTTAGCAGCAGGCACAGGGTTCCCAGCCCCTGATAGCCACCCTTTCTGGCTTGGGGGAGGATAAATTAAGCACAAAGCTGAGCTTGATGTTTACCTACCTACCAGTCTGATACACCAGCTATAAACACTTGCAATGCTGGATATGGCCACCTGTGTTACTTACTAGAAATCAAAGTACTAATTAAATGGGGTGTAGCTCCTTCCTAGCCTGGAAGCTCAGTGCATCATCACCTAATTCCAGGCCACAGGACTGGCCCTATAAAAGTCTTCTATGGGCC